GTGTTAGGTGTACTAACTGCATCTTTCCACTTCTTTACAATTTCTTTTGCAAGCTTAGCTACTTCGGGATTTGGATGTACGCGTTGCCTCCCAATAATTAGACCAATTTCTGTTTTCTATTAAACGATCATTTTTTTTTCTTAAAAAACAATTCATTTTTAACATTAAGGTCAAGCTTTCTTACCTTTAAAAGTTCTTTTGAAGGAGTATTGTCCTTGAGTCTGTTCATTAATTCAAGGACATTCTTTATTCGAGATGTTTGTTCGTATAAAATGGTCAATTATTAAGCCACACAACGATTATATTACTAAATTAATAATGAAACTTACAACAATCTTTCCGCCCTCAAGCGCTTTCGTCAACGACTTTTTTAGTCGTATAATTTCGTCAGCATTCATAGTGATCTATAATTCGATTATATTATGTTTTAGATGTTACAACTTACGAGCTCGTAAATTAATTAGTATCGGTAAGGATTACGGATTATGGATTATTGAATGGTTGATCTATCACTATATCTTGATTATAAATAGGTACTGTAGTACGTAACCATGCATCTACATTATTTTTTACCTGTGAATATTTCAACTCGCTTTCAAATCTGAGAAAACCATTGCAAAAATGGGTAAAGGTACTGACAAAATGTAAGAATATATATTTTTTTTACAATGCTCAGCTCCTCATTTGCCCGATCGTTTTACTTACCCTATGTTAAAATGAATGCAGGTATATCACTCATTCTGGTGAGAGATCAAAACCTGATAAGTTTACTGCTCGCTAAATTTGTTCAATCCCGCTCATATATTTATATATTACTTAGAGTGGTCTGGTGAATTTGGTGGAATGCAGTTTGGTGGTATTCAAGCGAGGAAAAAGACCCAAATTTTTAAAAGATTACCGTTTAATTACTGTTCGTTATCTCTACAACCGTTCGAACATCCTGTATGTTCACCCGAGGGAACAATTTTTGATTTGAGGTATTATATTAGTTTTCCATATAATAGTATATCAATTTCAGAAGTCTTTCCATATTTTTCAACGCGTTTGTTTCATGCTTTAGAAATATATATCCTTATCTAAAGAAACATGGTGTAAACCCTGTTACAGGTGAAAAATTGGATCCTAAATCTTTAATTAAACTTAATTTTCATAAGAATGCAAATGGTATATATTATTGCTTAAGTTATTATTATAACAGTTGACTCTCTCTAAATGCAATATAACAAGGCCATACATATATAAAAATCGACATTTAGGAGAAATTATATTTCGAGATAGTAAATACATACAATTCTTAGATAACCTGCTTTAAGGAAATTTTGAAAAGACTGTATTTAGAGCGAGTTGACTATATTTTTATTACTATGATTATTATTTATTGAGATTACAAACCTACCGTTTATAGATGAATATCACTGTCCTGCAACACTTAAAGTTTTCAATGATCACACACATATTGTTGCAATTAAAACCACTGGCAATGTTTACGCATATGAAGCCATTGAACGACTGAATATTAAGGTCAAAAATTGGACGGATTTATTAACAGATGAACCTTTCACGAGAAAAGATATAATAACTATACAGGTATTCTTGACATTTCATTACTGAGATTACCACAATGTGTTTGTCATTATATTTTAATTTTAATATTTATACCATACAGGATCCTCACAATCTTGAAAATCGTAATTTTTCGAACTTTTATCATGTAAAAAATGATTTAAAAGCAGATGAAGGTTTTTATCTTTTAAGAAATAATTTGTATATTTTCTTTTTATTAGTTTTCTTATATTTTATTATTTTTCAGATCAAAATGCAAAAGATAATCCTTTGAATGACATTAATATCAGTGCTGTGGGATCTGCAGCACGCGTGTTAAACAAAATTTCAAGTCGTGTAAGTACTTTGTCATTTTCATTCCAGTTATTTTTTTATTCAGGCTTAAATTCTGTTATATTTTTGCAGCAAGATGAAGTATCTGATCAAATAAACCAAAATATTAGTACTGAGTCGAAACCTGCTTCTGAAAAAATAACAAAAGTCACATCGTCTACTGCAGGATCTAAACCTAAGAAATTGCCATATAACGCCGCACCATATACACGCGGTCTCGCAGCTGCCTCATTTACGTCCACTGCAATGACGCCTGTTACCGTAAATGAAAATGCGCTTATTGACGAAGATGAATTTATGTTCAAGGAAATTAAAGCCAAGGGTTATGCCCGTATAACGACTAATCTCGGTAATTTGAACGTAGAACTTTTCTGCGATAAGGTATTATTCCCATGAATACTGGTGTGTGGTTTTTTAATTAAATTTAACTATTAATATTGTTTTAATCAGTCACCGCGGACTTGCTTTAACTTCATAATGCTTTCCAAACAAGGATACTATAACGGGTTGGTATAGGCAATTCATAAATAGTTTAATACATCGGCTTTAAAATGTCTTGCAAATTTAACGAATTTTTGCCAAAAATCCAAAATAAATTTTAGAATTATATTTCACCGCAAGATCAAAAATTTTATGGTAAACAAATAAATAAATAATATACATATATGTGCGAAGTTTAATAAACATTATCGAAATTAAATTAACGTAACATATGAAAATTTTTTTAGATACAAGGTGGAGATCCTACTGGTACTGGCAAAGGAGGAGAGTCATATTGGAAAAAAGATTTTGTGGACGAATTTAAAAGCAATTTGTCACATAATGAACGAGGTCTTTTAAGTATGGCAAATAGAGGAAAAAATACTAATTCATCTCAGTTGTAAATATTGTTATTTTCAGCATTCAAAATTTTTATAAATTTTTTATGATAATATTAACCGATCGACATTTTCTTTTTTGTAGTTTCTTTACTTTTCGACCCTGCATACATTTGGACAACAAACATACAATTTTTGGGAAAATAGTTGGAGGAAAAGACGTTTTAGATAAAATGGAATCTGTACCTACAGATGATTCTGATCGTCCGTTAAATGAAATTAAGATTTCTAATGTAACTGTATTTGTGGATCCATACGAAGAATACAAAAAAAATCTTGAAAAAAAGCAGAGTCGACAATCAACAGAAAAACAAGATAAAAAACCGCAGAAAAATGAAAAGGTTTTTTTTTTGTTTTAAGAAAAACTTTCTGGTTATTTTTACTTATGCTAACATATATTCTATTTTTTAGGATTCAACAACCAACTGGTTCGGTAATAAATTATCATCATCTAGTATAAACAAAGAAGATAATGGTGTCATTGGAAAATATTTAAAGTCTGCTACATCAAAAAAACGAGAACTTGAGAACGAAGATGATTCGATTGAGGAGCAATTTTTAGATGCAGTTCCAAAAAAACCAAAACCCACTGGTTATAACTTTGATTTTAGTAAATGGTGAAACCACGTTTATATCAATGTCGACAGTTAAATAACTTTTAATAATAATTATTTTCAATTTCGAATGAACGTTTGATATGGTCAATATTCATTTGCTCACCTAATATTTAAGCAAAATCTTCAAAGTTTTTTAACTTTATAACAGGGTTTGAAAATGTAGAGGAGGGAGGGTCTGCAGTTACGTATATAAATGTATGATTGAACACTTAAGGATGGGTCCGGTCTTCTAATTGAATAAACGGTACACATCCCTAAATAAAAGGCTTGTTATCCGAAATCTGGTTTGTTGGTCAGGAATTGATCAAGGTCACTAAAAACTTACTAAGACCATAGTCCTATAACAACAACTCATACAGGGAGATCCCCAAAATTCCTGGTCGGAATGCATCGGAACATTGGCCGGATAGGCCGGAATTTGTCGATTTTGCCCAAGATGAAACCATAGTCATTCATTAAGTAAAAAATGCCCAGCTGATAATTTTACTATAGCTCCTGCTAACCGGAATAGCTAACCCTAACCCTAACCACGACGCATTCCGACCAGGAATTTTAGGGATCCCCCTGTAAAAAATATCATCTTGATTTGAACATCTTTGCTTAGAAGTTGAAAATAAGTTTACTTAGTACAAAACCCTATACGATTAACTTTTATTTATATCCACCTCTATAGCGTTATATTTTCGGGAGAATAAATTTTGTTTATCAAAATACAATACGAATTTGAAAATATATAAAGCGAAGTAAATTTAGGGTTAGACTAGGTTAGACTAGTGTTGGGCTTTTTTATTTTTCTTCGTCGTAGTTTGTTAAATTTCCATAATTTGATTGGTTCAATATCATATGATTCTGCTCCCCAAATTTGTAAATTAATGAGCTAAACATCGATTGTTTGTTTTGTCGAATCTGATCAGATCATCAACACGTGACCAGATAATTTTTGGTAAATAATAATATAATTGGATTTTATTTCAGTTCTTCTAACAGACGCTGGAGCGTCATAAAGGTAAGAATTCAATTTTATTAGACACATTATATTATATTATTTAAACCTAATAATGCAGCTTGGAAATTTGCAATAACTCGATCTTATATTTGTAGCAAACGATTTTGTTCCTTATATGAAACTTTGAGAGATATGTTCGTCAACCAAAATCAAACCCAAATTAAAAAGAAATTGGTATTTAAATATTTAAATTGTTATTTTGTTAAAGTAAACAAAAACATATATATATATTTTAAACTATGTTTTCTGAAATTTTTTAGATCCAGCCACGTAAATTGGCTGTTCTTCGAGGCCAACGTGACGAAAATGTCGCTGCACCTAAACAACTTGCTGTACGTGAAGTGGCACCAACTACTTCCAATACTCGACTTCCAAAAAGGACGACCAGTTTTGTTCGTAAAAGAGCTGCGTTAGACGATGTTAGCAATATAAGTAATATCCCTGTTGGGGCTTTAAAACATGCACAAGCCAATGATTTGGACGCTGTTTCTTTAAAAAAAGCACCTCTCAAGGAATCTATTGCCAGCAATGTGAATGTACAACCACTAAGACAAACTACTAGCGTAGTCATTAAGCCCCAAATAAAAGTAGAAAATATCGAGAACTAAAGGAATTAAATTGCTCAAGAGATCGGTTAAATATAAAAATTCGATATTTTTACAAGAATGA